TCTATATATAAAAATAGTGTTTTTCTTGACGGTAACTTGTCATACCGATGACTTGTACTGTTTCTGATTTCTAAACCTATGTGTTCCACTTCCATTTTCAAAGGAAAACAAGCAGAACGAACAAGCATCATGTGTTTCTACAGGTACACCGGAGTTAATATCATCCCCCGTCGAAATTGACGCTCGCTTGAATCGACTCTCTCGACTGCATCGACTTTGTGAACTTGTCCGCAAGACTATTTGGTTAGACTCGATGGCTGGTGTGTGCAATGAACTCAGTTCAAGTTGGATAAACTTATCCAGACAATCCGATCGAATCACGTCGAAGGAGTATAGCAATCTGGATGCGTGCAATTTGTCTTTCTTACACATTCCCAAACCGGTTTGTCAGTCTTCGATTAGAAATGCTACTCATTACAATGCCACAAGGTCAACTTGTTCCGGTGATTCTACTACACGCACTCAGGGTTTGCCTCAGTCGGATCCATATTCGTTTAGAAGTTCCATGTCGACGTACGCCAGTCAACTGGGTGAACTTCGTGTGCTTTGTGAAAGTTTACGTCAATCGCTCACACAAACAAAACGTTTTGGCCACGAGCAGTACACAATGCATGAGCAGTGGAGAAATTTGGCCGGTGGTCGGTTTAGGGATGTTAACAACACAACCCTGTCCCCGTTGAGATTACTTGGTTTTTGTACCAATGAGCTGACCAGTCTGACATTATTGTCTGCTCATCATCTGGTTTTTAGCGGTCTGTCTCTGCTGGCTCATTCTGATCTGACTCGATTCACTCACGGTGATCTGTGGGAAATGATGCGTGGTATGGAAGAGTTGGATATCCTCAGCAGACATATACAAACCAATCGACGCCTAGCTCATTCCATCAGTTTGCGGCTGTTTCTAACCAGGAATCGCCCTCAAGGGACTTGTAGCTGGAATCATTTACTGGAAACGGAAGTGTTCAGCCGTGCAATCACCCCCTTTCCTTCTGTATCCGTTGGATATTTGTTTGTGATACTGGCTGATCAACGTTCCATCCGACTGTCCGATACAGTTTTTCGTCAGTTGTGCAATATTTGTTCTCATGGTCAGCGTACTCCCACTGCACTGGAAGCTGGTGACGGAATACCGACACAACATCGGCCACCAGCGGAGGATGAGAAATCCGGACGTTCACACCTTGTTGAAGCGTTTCGCAAATACTTACATGAAAATTATGGGCGTTCGGCATCGGAATATTTACGATCAGAGTATGAATTCATTTCCGGGTTTTTGGATGTGCTCTCGCAATCGACCAATCTGTTGTACCATGTAGAAAAACTGAAGCTGGTATGTAGTGCTGCGGCAGCAGCGCAGTCGAAAAAGGCGGAATTGTCACGTGATTTGCAGTCGATGCGAGCTCCGTACTCTCCTTTCGGTATTCCAACATCCTCGCACGCCATGAGCGTCGAAGGCAAACATGGGATACTGATAAGGCGTGGATCCGGAGAAAAGATTTCAGCAAAACAACAGCAACAACAAGAACAAAATTTTGGTTCTTCTTCCCGGGCAAAAGAGAGACACAAAGATGTCATTTCATATTATCAAAACACATTGCATCGTGCCTGTACTCTGGACAGGTACGTGGCCACTGGTTCAACGGTATGTCCCCTCAGCGAGGACACAGCAGAAATAAATGAAAAGACTTCACATAGTAGACTGACCGAAGGTTCCTCCGACACCGAAGACGCTCAGAAAAAAGCAGAAGAGCAAAGTACAGATTGTCAGCGGAACACCAAAAAGTCTGTTCAGTGGAGCGATCATCGGGAGATCAGTACACGGCATCAAGTAATTGGAAGGTTTCTGGAGATGATGTGGCAGTATAGTGAACAGCGGCTGAATACCATGTTTCTGATCCCTCCGGAGTATCAAATTACATCTATCCAATCTTGTGGCATGTCCGATGTTCCTGCTACACTTGAACCGCAAAGCAACTGGAAATTATCTTCCTGTCTGTGTCTACCAACATCCAAGCTGCACAATTTTGCTTCCAAAGTCCAAGAAGTAGCTAAATCCGGTAAGTTAATCTCCGTACTTTTCCTCAATGTTTGCAGCTTCAAATGTTTGTCATTCATCATTTTAAACTGTCGCACATGTGAGCAACTACCCAACAGTTTCAGAGTGCGATATTAAGGCAGAATAAGATTTTATGTTGAAGGAAACGCTTTAGATCACTTGATTTCCAGCGCAGCGAATTTCGGCCAAGAGCTAGAGGGAGTCGCTCGCTAGTGGTGCGTATGGGCGTCATGCCAGTGACGGTCCCACTCAGGAGAACGTAGTACGCAGAATCTTCTCTGTTCACGATAGCCTTGGCCGAATGATCTCTCATAAAATGCCTTCTGATGCAAATATCTGCTTTCCTCTTTGCTGGACGTACTATGCTTACTATAACTCCCACTCAGGAGAACGTAGTACGCAGAATGTTGTCTCTTCACGATAGCCTTGGCCGAATGGTCTCTCATAAAATGCCTTTCGACGCAAATACCTGCTTTCTGCTTTGCTGGACGTACTTTGCTTACTATAAGCAGCAATGAACTTCAGCGAGGTGCAGTTGTTCCGGTCAATATTTTTTACTTGCTTCTGAGTAGATTGGAAGAATAACTATCGCTTGTAAGAGCTAAAACGGGCTACGAGCCACGTCTCTTTTGAAAGATATGGCAGTAAAACGATAAAAGTTCAAGAACTGCCAGCCCGTGATGACTCACGGTACAATGAGAGCTACCGAAAGGTGAGGCCACAACTGGTTTTTGATTCCACACTTGCAGGTACGTTAAGATGTAAGGTGTTTATGTTACCGAAAATATGGCCGTTGGCTTGTTCACTGAGCTGGGCAATTTGATTGCAAACGCTTTATCACCAGTCGAGGTGACATCATCAGTGGGTTTTTGGGGAGCGTAGTTGTGCGTAGCCGCGGGTTAGTGATCGAAAATGTGTTCAAAGTATGTTTTAGAATTAAAGTTCTGTTTATATACTGCTTGAAAAAGTCTGTAAAAGAAATACAATTCGATGGTTGCCACTGAGTCACACTTAGGATAAAATCTGCTAAACAAGGTTGTACCACCAACTATCCGTAGAATTGAATGTGGACATTTTATACCCATGACAACACTAGACCTCAAACTATCCTATTGGAATGCATACAGAGATTTTCTGAGTAAAGTTATCCAAGCGTTTGATGAAGGGGAGTATTCGTCCCTAAGAAAGAGGCAGAAAGATTAAGTAAGGTCTTGCAAACTCGTTTACATGTGGCTTAGGATATGTGCAGATAGGAAGAATTCCCTTACCGAAGGCAGGAGTTAAAATATCCATGAAACATCGGGTTAGTTGGGGGCGAGATGGCCCAAGTGTTTAGGGCGCGAAGTTACTGACCGGAAGGTCCGTGGTTCGAACCCCACTTCTGCCACTCGACTCCCCCTGTCTAGGCTTGGGCGACCTGGCAGTATCCCAGCCCTCTTGCTTCCTCCGAGTTGCATGGCAGCTAGGCACCGGAAGGGTGTTATAGCTGAACGAAACAATCGGGTTAATTGGTAAGATCTACTTTCATGTGCGCATAGAATCGGCCTCAGCGGGACTCCATCTTTGCATCTGCCCCTGGAGCGTGGAGATTTGATCCATGTCCGCTTCATTTGGTCGTTCCGTGTATCAGAAATAAGGCTACATATTGAGGGTATAGAATTAGTCTTATCATTCTTTCTTTCATATTTGTACCCAGTGTCTCCGAGAAACCTTGATCCATAAGCAGGTAGCGTCTGTGCTATTCGTCTTTTCCATGAATGTAACCCTCAAACTTTTATGTTCTTTGAGGACGGGGAGAGCATCTATCATTGCCGATGCCTTCATGGCAGTATAATGTTCTTTAGTGAGACGTTGATTATGACTTATCGATCAGGGTAAAACTGTTAGAGATTGTCAACAAGTTTCACGTTTCCAATGCTACCTGAATAATTAATGTGTACGAACTGAGCATGAAGACAGTTTGTCGGAATATCGCTTGCTCGGGTCCGCCTATTGGTCATTGATCAGGTGTTGTTGATGTGTTTGCCGAACTTGGCAATTTTCTTGCAAACGTTTTATCACCAAATGAGAAAGAATCGTTGGTGACATCATCAACCACGAACTGAAAATTTGAATGCAATAGATTGTTGGGCAGACAGAGGTTAATTGAAGCAAGTCTACTTACAGAATCTGTAAGATTCTGGGTTCCTCTGATCTGCTTGCACAATGCTGTAAGGAAACCTAGACTGTGGCGTTTAGATGATTTGGTCTTATCTGGTCAGTCACACAGTAGAAATTCACATTTTCAGTAAATTTTCAGCGAATAAACATAAATAGATAAATGGGGGGAATCGACAAATAAGAGCCTTACTCGGGTTGATCGGTACAGCCAAAAGATGAACCAGCGAATCTGTAAGCACGGCCGACGGTGATGAGCAAATATTTGCTAAGTGAATGTTCACCGATTATCAAGGAAGACTAGTCTCAAGCCAATTTAGCAGCAGGTACCTTGAATATAGCTTGCGATTGCTGGTGTCAGTTATCGAGGATGGTTTCAATGTTCAGCAGATTTATCAGTCAGAGGACCGAGTTACCGTCATAGCTGTCCTTACAGGTGAAAACTGGCTTCTTGGGCTACTCAGCAAACGTTACATGCTCTGTTACAGCTCAAGACGTAATGACCTTATATTGCTATACTCCTGTACATACTTGCCCAAGGTCAGCGCCTAGCCGGAATCCCGGGGAGCGTTTTATGCCTCCACATTATGCTGTGAGCATTACTTAGATCATCTTCCCAGTGCCTCGAATGTCTACACACGATTTCTAGCCGGATAGATCTTCAGAGGTCATTCAAGCACTTTTCAGAGAGACACATAACATTTTTATGAGAACTTTTAGCGTAATGCTGTCCTTTATGACATCTGTGGAAGATATTTTAACTGCCCATGGGTTTAGACCCTGTGGGTTGACTGTTGAATGAAATTAGTCAATCCCGCCTTCTTTGTGACATCAAAGTCTTACTACAATTAATTTTCTACGCTGTTTGTCATAACCAACCAAGCCATAACGGGACCAGATCTATTTACCTAAAGTCAGTTTGGAAATGTGTGGCGTCTAGGATATAATTTATCTTCCTGACCTGGGAAGTTATTTGAGGCTTAACCAAACAGAAACCGTTGTATCAACACGCATCTTTGGGAGGATACGAAATTTTGCGTGATCCTATCAGCAATAAAATATGTTTTCTGCCCAGCATCTTTGCTCACAAACAGACCCACTTTGCTCACGCTACAGAGCATGCATTTTCCAATTGGGTGTGGAATTACCTAGTGTAGTGTCACTGCGTCAACTGTGAGATTGCAGCCCGTGTGACACACAACAACTTCCATAGTTCTTATCGCACACACTAAGGGAAACCAAATGTGGCAGAAAAACATGTGAGATTGCAGCCCGTGTGACACACAACTTCCGTAGTTCTTATCGCACACACTATGGGAAACCAAATGTGGCAGAAAAACGGCGCGTGATACAACTTGGCTCCCAGTTACTTCCAGAGCGGCACAATAAAACATCCACCCTGATTTTCGGTCAGTTAGTGTTGGTGGGTGTTTCTGGAACAATTATTCTATGGATAAAATTAATTTTAACAAGGAATAGACTGGAAATCGCTTGTCAGATTCCCATCGATCATTTGCCGCTCTACCGATGTGTTGTCCCCATTCCCAGCTTAGTAAATCCTTGCCTGCTGGGTGACGCCTCGAGATGGAAACTACATAATCAAATAAGCATAATTTAACATAAATCACACAGAGAGCAAACATATTTGTGTGATAACGGTCATTGTGTGAATACTTCTGATGGCTAATCAGGGTGATTCCGTGAGGATTTGGTAGCGCTCATCTTCATCCTCGGAACTTTTGAAACCGATAAATGAATATAGGTAGTAGGGGTTTGGTTGCTCAAAGATCGAAATTTAACGTGGTTTATGGATGGTGGACGACCGAAAATACCATTTACTGAAACGGATGTTGCAGAATTCTTCGGTCAAGTTCATCTGTATCGCTAGCAAATAGAACTGTCGGAATCAACTCAGCATAGGTCAGGTTACTGTCTGACTGAATGTGAGGGGCTTGACCCGCGTCGGAACTACCTGGAAGATAACCGATTAATTTAACAGTGGTCAGTTGGAAATTTCGTACTGTCGTTTGAAAACGACCCTGAATGGAATGCTCACTGAAGAGGGTCGACGTGACTGTTTGACTAGTGAACTTGTATTTGTTTCGACGAACTTTCGGAAACTTTTCCTTGGTGCCATCTGACTCAATCTTGAATCTCTTGCCACCTCTGGGTTATGCAACGAGAGAGATCAGATTACCATGAAAGCCCCAGTTCCCAACTTAGAATACGTATTTAGACAAGAACAATTTTCCTTGAGGAACTGACCATATTCAGTTTGGATGCATTTTGTGAAAAAACGGGTCCTTCCTGGCAAGCGATTTGTATCCTGGCTACTTTTCTGTTCTTCTTAGACGATCTGTCGGGAATGTGTAGAGGCTCGAAACAGGCAGTCAAATATAATCTGCTTTTTAAATTTTATTCCTAGTCTTCCCAAGTAAAAATGTCGCCAGCTGGATAATTACATCGCAGACCGTCTAGACCTTTGGGTCCCTTTGGTGACCAGCCGAGTTTCAGTTGATTGAATGCCAGGAAAAACTACACAAGCCTATGGTTACTCTTAGCAACTTGGTGTTTCTGGAGTACTTTGGAATATATTCTGATGATGTCTCGATCATGGTGCTGTACAACCATTTCAAGATGTTTAGATCGGCTGATAGCTTGCAACAGATTTCCGCGTGTTTTCCTACCGATCTCGTTTGCTGGAGTATTGACACAATGCGCAGCACCTGATTCAGCTCTGCGAAAACTGTCTATGGCTCTTTAGGTATGTACAGGTGTCCGGTGATTCAAAAGTTCCAGAGCGGTAGCTGCCTCCTGGCTGCCGGCTACTATGGGTGGGCATGTCAGTCGTGCGTGTTTACAGCAAGAAGTTACTGAATGTATGGATATCTCCCCTTAGAAATGGAAGCATAACCGGAGGGATTTAGACAAACACACAGCATCCACACAGAATCTGCACCTTGTTGTAAGAAAATGACAGTCCCAATGGTGGACAGAATTCGTGCCGTTCCGACAGGATTGCGCGTTTATCAGGCTTAACCACCAACCAGGTCATCAGAAGCACATGCAGGTTGACAAGTTTAAGACCGATAGTGTGCACCATACAAGTCGCTTATAATCTGGGCGGAATAGCTGTTGCTTTTGGCCGATCGGATGTTGGTGCGAAAAATATTCATCACAGTATATTGGCTCTTCTTTTATTGTGATTATCTCTACTGTGACCCACCTGAACTCTTACAAGACTGGGAGAAATAGATCTAGCCAACTGACTCACCCAGGTTTTGCAAATTTACATACTGCGTATAATGAAGCGTTGCAGAACTTGTTCCTAAAAATAGGCT